AGCTCTTCAGCTTTTAAACGGAGATGAGCACTGCTCCCTAGAGTCGGGAACGACTAGCACATGTATGTGATGGGAATCTTTACTTTTATCTTTGATATATTAATTTTTAACAATTGTATTTTTAAAATTTTATATGTTTTTACTTTTGTTGTGAGCCGCCCAGAGTCCCAAGGGAGTGGGCGGCATACAAATTTATTAAAGTTGAAAGTTGAATGGGAGGTGTTAAGATGCATGGAAAAAGTGGATAATTGTTTGAGGGAACCCCTAGCTAAGTTTTGCCTCTTAAGCAAGTACATTTCTTTTTGTGCAGAATTAAACACTAAAAACGGCCTTAGATAAAACTGGCTCTACCAATATGGTCACTCCCAGTGGGTCTTCCAAACTCTACATGCTAAAAGAGATTTTTCCCCCATTATGTACCAACCAACCTTTTGATTTGTTTTGGAATCGGGTTGCCAAGACACGTTATCTTAAGTTGAAAGAAACTCATGTTTACTTATTCTTACATCCTTAAATCTGTATAGAAGTTTGTATGCTGCCTCTGTTTTGGCTACAATACATCTGTCTCTGTCTCTGTCTCTCTGTGTCTCTGTCTCTCCCTCTCTCTCTGTCTCTCTCTTCTCTCTCTCTCTCTCTGATGAAATTGAAAGCGAAGCCCAGAATCTAGAAAGTAGTGATTTATTACATGTTCTTACATTTTCACGCTTGGCTGTCACCAAGGTAGATCTGCCAAAAGAGTTGACAGAGTTGTTTAAAACCAGCAGGCAGAATAGTCAATTCTATGGCCTTAAAAATAAATGTATCTATTGACTGATAAAAAGTATTTGCAGACCGATAAAACAAGTAATTAACGGAGCCGAACAGGTTCTAAGGGCCTGTGTTAAAATTCAGAGAGATCTCCCATCTGCTTGCCGATTGCCACTAATGCAATTTATATAAGGCTCAATTTCATCTTTGTATTTGCTGAACAAGCTATCGGATACACGATATGCCAATATATGTATGTATGAGCGGGTCATCACCTGAGCTTAATTGCACACAAATTTCCAGCAGAGTTAGTATAAACGCAATTAGCCTATAAACGGTGTATCTGTTCTATCCAAAGAGGTGGATCGTCTCTTGATAGGGCTTTAGTGACATCGATTTCTGATTAATCATTTTACTTAATGACTCATCTGTAATCAAAGTGCAGTGAAAAACATTGTGTTTGTCTACCGGGCATCAGTTCACTTTGCCTTTGTTTGAAGTTGGATAGCAAATTTATTACAAGTCTACAAAGGGAGGAAGCGGTTGTGAGTATTTGTTTAGTGACCAGAGTTACAATAGCACTGAAAAATGTGACATGACCGTTTTTCAGGCTTATGACAATTGCAGCATCCCCATGGTTACGTGATCAAAAATTCAGGTGCTTGGCAACTGGTTCATATTTATGACGGTTGTAGTGTCCTGGAGTGTGTGTGTGTGTGTGTGTGTGTGTGTGTGTGAAGTGATCCCATTTTGTGACCTTCTGACAAGCAACTTCAATGGGCAAGTCATGTTCACTTAACAGCCGTGTTGCTAACTTAGTAAATGCAGTGATTCGCTTAACAACGGTAGCAAGAAAAGTCTATAAAATTGGGGAAAAATTCACTTAACAAATGTTTCAATATAAACAGGGCTCTGGTCATAACTCAAGGACTACTTGCATTAGAACCGATCCAAGAGGTATTTTTTAAAAAAAATTAGCTCTTGTCAGCAATAATCCAATAGAGAACAGTTTAAAAATCAACCTACATCCCTTTCACCATCTTTTCTACAATTCTTAAGACAACTGCTTAATCGTTTTCCCAATAATTAATTTTTAGGATATCAGTCTCTTTTTTTCAAAGAACAAGAAAATCTTTGGATCCAATATAAAAACATTTTTATAGGAGCAAATTTCTGACAGTTTCCATCTCTTCTCACTTTCATCTAATCTTTCCTCCCCTCTAGTGTTTGTCGAAATTGCTGTGGATCCTAAAAGATAATCTCTTTAACAATTCAAAATAATGTATGACTTTGCAGTTGCTAAGAGCAACATATATATAGCGGATATGATTGAAGCAATTTGGAAGACAATTTAAATTTCTTCAAGTACTGATGCTGTTTGTTTCATGTCTCTCTCTCTCTTGTCTAGTTTGGTCTAGCATGAGTTCACCTTCACACCAAGAGGTGAAAGGCAAAAGCATTTAACATTTATGTTTGCCTTTCCATAAATGGAAGGTTTTCAAGGAGCAGAGAATTGACAAATCCATCAAGATAGTTTATTTAAGTTTGGAAACATATTCCTAATAAACAGAGGCCATTCTGATATATATCATAATGCTTCCTTGGAATGAAAAATACGGTATTCATTACATTTAGATGGCCTCCATAAAATCCATAAACATGATGAGAAGATGAGAATCGTAATCCTCGATTTGTGACTACAAATGGAGTCCAAAATTCCTGTTCCTAAGTGAGACATTTGTTAAGTGGATTTTGTCCCATTTTACGACCTTTGCCATACTTGTTAAGTGAATCACCACAATTATTAAATTAGACAGCTGTCCTAAAGGTGCTTTTTTTTTTTTCAAGAGGCAATTGGAAGTTCTGGTTTTTCTTTGAAGAGGTTTCACTGCTCATCCAAGAAGCTTTTTCAGCTTCTCTCAGAAGCTTCTGCTCTCATAACAGAAGAAGCTTCTTGATGAGAAGTGAAACCTCTCCAAAGAGAAACCAGAAAGTCCAGTTCCTCTTGAAAAAAAAATCACCTTTGGGACAACCATGACTGGATGACTGAGAATCTCCATAGACATTTAGTAAGACGGTTGTTAAGTAAATTTGGCTTCTGACTTTATCAGAAGGTCTCGAAGGAACACATGACCCTGGGACATAACAACCGTCATAAATATGAATCAGTTGCCAAGTGTCTGAATTTTGATCATGTGACTATGGGGATATTGCAACAGTTGTGTAAAAACCTGTCATAAATCATGCTTTTCAGTGCCATAACTTCGAATGGTCACTAAATAAGCTGTTGTAAGTTGTGGTCTACCCCCTCCTCCTCCTCCTCCTCATCTTTTAATGACCCCATAATCCCTTGCGGGGTGGAGTCTGGGCAATTGAATGGAGGTGAGTGTTTACTGGCCAGATGCCCTTCCCTGTCGCCAATGCAGAGGGTTTTTTCCCAGCAGATATATTCTCATGGTGCCCAGAGAAAGACGTATCTGACTCTTCCCTAGGATCGAACTCACACCTCCTTGATTGTGAGGCCACTGCACCAGTCAAAGTCGTGATCTACCTGTTTTAGTTAAATTAACTTAGATCCGATGGGTCATCTGGGCATTAGAGCTTCAGTAACACGGATGGCCGGGATGAAGGTACGATCAAAGAAAATTTGGTTCCCAACCTCTGATGGGAAGATTTTACTTCTGAATTTTCTTGAGAGGAAAGATCTGGTGACATTCGAAAGACCATTTTATTACCGCTTGAAGCTTCATGGGCATCATCAAAAGCACCGAGTAGAGCAGAACTAATCGATGCAAGCTTAATATTTGTTTCTGCTATGGGAAAAACGGGTCCCGGGGAAGTGAAGACAGCTGGAGCCTGTTCCCAGTGTGTGCATGTGCAGAGCTGTCAGGAGAAGGGAACAGCTAAGGAACAAGGACCGACTCAGGAGTAAAGCCACAGGTGGACAGTGAATGGCCCCTCCCATAGGGAATAAAGAGGAGCGAAAGGGGAGGGGAGTTTGCAGGAGACAATTAGTTCAATTCATTAGGGTGAAGATCTGTGCCTGGCTTCTTGCCAAGTATCACCTGCTGCAGAGTGGCGTTTGGAAAATATCAGCCTGGCAACTCTCCAAGCCTGATAAAGGTCTGTAGCTGTGAAATCTCATGAAAGACTGTTTTCCAGGACTTCGCTGGAGAGGAATT